GGTGCAGGAGAGTGACGGAACACTGTATCGGTTAACACCCGCCTCGTCTGATCCGGATATGTTCATTATTGTGAATATGTTAATTTTCCGACACCACCAGACGGCGCCAACCTCTGCTCTTGTTATCGACACGTACTTTTATAAAACTAATATAAATAATCGCAATCTAACCCCAGAAAAATATGCTGCTATCGATAAGTTTAATGGTCGAGGTGGTGTACACTGCCAGGGGACACAACGATCACAGTAAGTTTAGTGAAATGTTTGAGACTTTCTCCAGAAAACCAGTTAAAAGTTCATGATGTGTCGGTCACTGAGACGGTGTATAAAAAGATCAAAGGTGCAGCCTTGTTACCTGGGGAAATATTCTTTATCCAACTTTACCGGAGTTTAGCTCAGAACTAATGTTGGAGATTACTAGTTGTTGAGGCCATGATTTTGTATATATATATATATATATATATATATATATATATATATATATATATATATATATATATATATATATGTATATATATAGCAGTATATATATATATATATATATATGTATATATATATATATATATATATATATATATATATATATATATATATATGTATATATATATATATATATATATATAGTAGTATATATATGTACAGTATATACATATATAAGGTTGTTGCTATGTTGTTATATATATATATATATATATATATATATATATATATATATATATATATATATATATATGTATATATGACAAATGTAATTAATCACAACAATGAGTGTATTACTATGAGCGCCTTCACCCCCTCTCTCCATACACAAAAGAACCGAACACGAAAACATTGCAATAACAATTATTAAAATTCATACATATAACATGCAGAGCAGTAACTCAGAACCTTATACCAAAGATAAACAAGTACAGTACGTTACACAGTACAGGAAGCTGGGCCACGAGTATTGCTTTACCCCAATAGTATCAGAGACTGTGGGAGCCTGAGGCACCGAGATCCTGAAGTTCCTGAATGAGTTGGGCTCTAGACTAACTGAAACTATCAAAGTGAAATTTTATTACACAAAACTTAAAAAAAAATTGAAAGGTGCTAAGTTCCTCTGGGTCAAAACAGTCATGGAAAGTGTTAATAAATGTTGGTAGTATTCCCTCACTGGACCGCTATATTACGGTTCAGGAACAGCTTGCTGATCGTCGTTGGATTCCCTGCCACATCAGTGAGCCTGGAACCCATTTCTACCCCAGTGACAAACAGCTTCTGATCCTCTTGGTTTATGGTGGTTTAAATATTCAAATACTTTGTCTTTGGTAATAAAAATTGCCTCTTTATGATCTGCCTCACTACCAAGGTTTGTTACAGTGATAATGAGATGACGTGAGACAAGGCTCAAGTACGTGTGTAATCCCACACTAATTGTCTAGACTAATGAGTCAAGGTTCTCTTAGAGCGGTCACTGGGCTGTAGCGAGTTATTTCTTGATGTTATTGACCTCGTCCTGTCGTGCCCACCACCTGACTGAGGTTTCTGCTGATGAGAATGTGAATATTGACTGGTTACCTGGAGGCTCTCTGCAGGTAAACTTGTGTTCAGTATAAACAAAAGCAGCGAAGCGAAGAATTGAGCTAATACACGTGGACTTGGGTTGAAGCGGATGTATATTTTCCTGTGTGGGGGGGAGGGGGACACAGAGGGTGGCTGGGTGTGTTGGGTGGAGGACACAGTGGGTGGCGGGGTGTGTTGGGTGGAGGACACAGAGGATGGCGGGGTGTGCTGGGTGGGATACACACAGGGTGGCGGCTCACATACTGACTCTAAATGTAACATTTACTCTTCAGTTAACCATTTCCACATTGTTGCCTTTGGTAGAGATCTGGAAGATTTTGTATTTTTCTCTCTTTTTTCTTTCTCTCTTTTCCGTCTCGACTGCCGAAAAATAAACACCGGAGGAGAGACCAACTTAGCAGAGACCATCACCAAGTGTTTTATATTTCAGACAGAACATTTTCCAAGCGGACGGCAGCATACAAACATCTCCAAACACAGAGTCGCTTGTTTTTCTTGCTTTAGAAAATATGTTGTGTTTGTGTCGGGAAAGGTCTGGATGTAGGAGGAAGGATCAACAACTATTTTTTTATGATTGAGATAAAACTGTATTACCATGAGCTTTGTTATTATATTTGTGTAAATTATGGTAGTAAAATATTTATATTTTTGGTATCTTCTTTATCCATAAACAGTAAATGTAATTGATAGAAAATATAGACCTAAATTAGTTCTGTAAAATATCATAATATGTGAAATTATATAATAAGATTAATTTATTCAAACAAAGCATTTATATAATAAATACATTGAAATAATTATAGTGTTTATAATGGAAAATGTGTCGAGTAAACACAACATAAACACCTGCATATGTTACCTGATGTTCGTGTGTTAATTATCGTATTTCACTTCACTTTAGACAGACGTGGAGTACATCAAGGCTATAAGACAGAGCTTCACAGAGCCATCTGACGGGAACAAGGTCATGGTGGCGGTGCTGTACAACATACAGTTCACAGTCGGTACACACACATCTATAACTTATGTGTTACAAAATGAATGTTAACATTATTACTGTGGTTAAGGTAGAAGGCAGCCACCAAACAGGGAGGTACTACCGCCTGGGAAGATATTGGAAGCACAAGGTAATGTCTAATGGTAGACCCTGCTGTCATATTTCACCACAAAAACTATGACCAAGTCCCAGGCTGCTGATTTAACTTTCTGCCTCATTTACACACAATTGCAGGGTCTCAATTGTTTATCTTGCGATTGACAACACAACATACATACAGTATATTGTTTCTCACTTTTGATCTATTTTTTTCATTTTTTTCATCATCATCATCATCATCATCATCATTATTATTAATTATTATTAATTATTATTAATTGTTATTATTATTATTATTATTATTATTATTATTATTATTATTATTATTATTATTATTATTATTATTATTATTATTATTATTATTATTATTATTATTATTATTACGTTTTCGCCCCTCCCCCTCCAGGTAACCCTCCACCCTCCATGTAACCCTCCCCCTCCAGGTAACTCTCCCCCTCCAGGTAACCCTCCCCCCTCCAGGTAACCCTCCCCCTCCAGGTAACCCTCCCTCCCTCCAGGTAACCTCCCTCCAAGTAACCCCTTCCAGGTAACCCCTCCACCTCCATGTAATCTCTCCCTCTCCAGGTAACCCTCCCTCCAGGTAACCCTCTCCCTCCAGGTAACCCTCCCTCCAGGTAACCTCCTCCCTCCAGGTAACCCTCCCTCCAGGTAACCCTCCCTCCAGGTAACCCTCCCTCCAAGTAACCCTCCTCTTCCAGGTAACCCTCCCTCCAGGTAACCCTCCCTCCAGGTGCAACCTCCACCCTCCA